TCCAACAACTACAAGCAATCCTTGCCATATGGAAACTTCCCAAGTTCAAAATATTTAAGCCATTCTTGAGGTTTTGTGTAAGCAATTAAGTTATCAAGTGGACGGCACAAACCTCTAATTGTGGAGGAAATAACCTTTGCACATGATTAAAGTGGTTCTCACTCATGTATCCTAAAACCTTAACTTGCCACAAAACCTTCCTGTTACCTTAAAGTACCAAATGCTCATGCTCCTACGTGCTACCCACGTCCGGGTAACACAATTTCAGATATTGCATAATATAAATGGGGGTTAAGGAAAACATTTGGTACATATTTTTTTATTTTTAAGGGTAAATTACACCTTTAATCTATCAGAATATTTAAACAATTTAGTTTCCAATATTTAAATTCACAAGTTCAATTTCTCAGTCTTATAAAATTCACAATTTTAGCCTAACTACTAAATGTATTTTTGGTAAAAAAATTTATAAAATTGTATTATTGATCAGGACTTGATAATTAAGTGATGATATGATAATTAGTATTTAATATTATTTAGAATATATTATATTTTTAATCTTTATTATTAATTGATTAAAAATGGTAAAAAGAGATGAAAATAAAGATTAAAAGTATAATTTAACAAATAATTTGTACTTATTCTTTTAAGTTTGTATTTTTAGCTTTAGCTCCAAAGTTACTTTTAACTGAAAAAAGAGTGTCAAACATCTTCTCAATAACATGTCGTGGTCAATGATACAATTATAATGATTAATAAATAAACATTTTTCAATTAGACAAAAACTACAAACTCTATAAAATAAAAAAAAACCTAAAGTTATGGAATTAAAAATCAGAGAATCAAAATTGTAGATCAAATATTATATGTGGTCTAATGTGTAATTTAATTATTTTTTTATTAATATAAGGGGAAAGAGATATTTTGTGTATCACTATTTTTAAAATGTTAATAAATTATAATAAAAGATAATAGAGATTAAATAATTTATAGTGCGTGATTAGTTGGAGTGAACGAATAGTTTGGAAAGTATATTTTACAAATAAGCAGAGAACAAAAACTAAATAAAATTTAAAATAGTAACTAGCGAGAGAAAAATAATAATTTAAGGAAGTGGTTATAGGCGTAAAATATTATACAAGAATATGTACACAAAATATTTATATTCATTTGTAGTTATAAATTTTAAATGTAATAATATAAATACTTTCTTAAATGTATAAATGTAGGATTTGATTTGAGTTTGACGGTGGTTGATAACGAAGTTAAAGAGTTAGATGAAGGATGTGGTATCAACGTTGAGTTTGGTTTCAGCTATGGCCTATGTAGCTAAAAGAAAATGTGCTCCAACAAAGAAGGGAGCAAAACATTCACCCAATGTTTGCAAATTTAACTGTTTGATTAGAAGTGAAAATTATAAGGCATCCTACCAACTTGAATATTGACGTCTTACCTTCAACGTTCATGCAAATATATCATTCAGGTTAAGATTTGAAAAATATAGATGTAGGAAAAACGTAACTTAATTGTTTTTTTGAGGTAAGGTGGAGCATAACGTAAACATAATGCTCTTGGATATTTATATTTAGCATTTGGAAAGGAGCATATGGGCTAATTCATATCTGGGCTGGTGTTGGGTGCTTTCTCTCCCAATCATCCAAAACTGAAAACTTGAAGCAGTCCCATGTGGGCTACCTCTCATTCGTTTGGTTTTGAGTCATTACATGTCCATTAGGCCATTTCTTATTGCCTGCCCTTCACTCTCATTCATCTTCAAAGGAATCAAGGTAATTACTAACTAATACTCCTTAAACACAATTTCCTAACCAACGTTCAATCTCAAATCTCATTTCATTTCAACAATAATTCAGAAGTTTCCCACTCTTAATTAACCCTTCATACTTCATTCCTCTAATTTTGTGGCGTTTGATAGGAAGCAGTCCCATGTTCATTTAGGTGTGCACCTAGCTACATATTGGTGGCAATTCAACTATCAACTAATATTACTAGTTACTACACCACACTCCTGACTCCCAATGTATACATATTTTTGTTTCATTAGTTCTCTAAACCCAAGATCATATATGTGATTGGTGGTGAGGAAGTCGTCTCGGTCTTGGAGAGGAACAGCACCAAACAATTATATTGTGCCATCTGTGCATTAAAAAGAAAAAAAGGTGGATGCTATTTATTGGTCACTCTATCAATTCCTTTTTATCCTTTGCTTTTTGTTTTCTTTTTATTGGGCAATATCTTCTTTGTTTCAAAGAAAGGTAACTTGACAAGCAAAGCAAGTTGGATTGGTATTCTATTTTGAAGGGCTTAAATTCTGCCAATTCATAAAATGGATAAGAAAAAGCGATAGCCACTGAAGCAGACAAAAACTGCTACACACTAACTAGACAAAGACTGAAGGCAGAATTGAGTACCTAGTCACGATATTCAGCCAAGTAAAGATGAATCTTTGCAAATTAATATTTGATAAATTAATGGTGTCAAAAAACAATTGATAAATAAATAATTTAGTAAATATTATTTTTTTCACTAGCAGATTATATTGGTTTGACTGAAATTAAATTTAGTTCTCTTAAATAAAGTATTAGGCTTGACTTTTGCAAATTAGAAAATTGTAATTAAGAAGGAAAACTCAACTAAACATTGTTAGCTATGTTTTTCATTGAAAATTAATCATTTACAAAGTCAGAAAAAGCTTTGTACAGATAACATGATAATAAAAAAAAATTCAATCACAACATAATTGTATATACATAATTAACTATTTTGATAAATCAATAAAATTATAATTGTAATAGTTACATCAGTATCTTCATATCGGAGGAACGAGTGTGTTTTAAACTTTTAATAGTCAGATTAGACTAATTCAACCTAAATATATTTATAGTATAGATGGATTAGATTAAAATTACTCGAATGTAATTTGGATTTAAAATTTAAAATTCAAGTCCTATAATTTATCAAGTGAGTTCAAATTAGCTCAACAAATCTGACTTATTTTATCAAGTCTAATTATTGACAACACTTTCAATAATTATGTTCACTAATTAAAAGGTTTTTGTATACAAATATAAAAGAAGTATTTTTACCTCTCCTTTAATTTCATTTATAATTCTCCATAAAACTTATGTAAATAGATAAAAATGACCTTTACTTTTTTTTCCTAAGTACGCATTGATTATGATTGAATATATGTTAAATTATATTTTTGATCTCACTATAATATTAAATTGCGTAATATTGGTTCTTTTATTTTTAAATTTTTAATTTTAACCTCTTAATTTTATAAAATCTATAATTTTAATCTTTTCAAATTATTATTCGTTAATCATTAGAAAATATAACAGTTAATATTCAAATTAAATTTTACTTTTAATTCTTACTATTATATCATAAAAGTGGTAAAATAAAAGTTAAAAGTACAATTTATCTGGAAAATATTAATTATTAAGTCATTTATGTAATATTAGGTTACAATAAATGATACAATTTTAACGATAAATGAGATAAACATTTAAAGAAAAGACTAAAATTGCTGATTTTATAAAATAGAATTATTAATATTATAAATTTAAAAATAAAAAGATTAAAATTATAAATATAATATTATAAAGAAATAAAAGTAAGATTTAACTATTTTTATAATTAAGGAGAATTAAAATTTAAATATTAAAAAATATAGTTATGAAAGTGTGTCTCTATTTCGAGGAGTTGCTGTTCTGAGAATGATGCAGTGATGGGAGCTTTTCTTAATTATTTGGATAATGTGAATATGACACCATCGGTTCTTAATTTGTGTTTGCTGTATCTTAGCCAAGTTGGTTATGTTCTTATTGCCAAGCCACAGCATAAGATATTTTAGGGAAAAAATTTGATATTTTGTTTACGACGTCGATATTTTTAGAATTGTATTTTTTTTATACTTATTCTTAGAATTGCGTATGACAAAAGTATCTTTGAAAAGGAAAAAAAAAAAAGAAAAAAGTTGTATTAAAAAGAAAAAATAAAAGTGAAATTTGTCATGAATTTCATAGACGTACGTCTTTATTCGATTATACTCAATTATTAATAATTAATTTCTACATATTAAATAAAAGTACTTTTTTTTGCACAACAGATTTTTAGAATTTGTTTTTCAATAAAATATTTTATAATATTTTTTAATTTTTTATTTAATTCAGTTTTATTTATCAAAATTAATTATAAATTAAATTTTAATATTTTTAAAATTAATTATCGATAAATTAACTCTTATATAAAATACAAATGACTATATTAGACAACAATATTTTTAAAGATTTTTATTCAACAAATTTTTTTAAAGAAATTCTTTCAACTTTATATCCAAATCAGTTTTATTTATTATAGTTATTTGTAAATTAAATATAATATTTTATAAATAGTTATAAATTTTAGTTATATTATATATGATAAAGATGTTTGTACATTATATAAAAATTATTGTATAAAATTATAATATTTAATAAGGTTATGTATATTTTATTCAATAATAAAAATATATTGAAAAGAACTCGTGTCAGTTTTGCTAGCTTTTGGTGATGACAACTTATTTATCTAGCAACGCACCAAGAGAGAGAGGGAAAAAATTTATAAAAAAAAAAAAAAAAAAAAAAAAAGTACAGACGAGATAATAATTATAATACAATGCGATAAGAAAAAAAAAGGTATAGACGTGATAATAATACAATGTGATAAGAAAAAAAAAAGTATAGATGTGATAATATACCATGTGATAAGAAGAAAAAAAAAGTAGAAAAAATAATAAACGTTAATAATATATTTGTATTAGGTGTCAAAATAATATTCGTACTTGAATGAACAGATTTGAATAATTGATCCAGCTGACATTGTAGACTTTTGGTGAAGTTAAATAATGGTTATTATCACGCTGACTTGACATGCTGACATGGCTGTAATTTGAAAACTAGGACAATAATCCAGAGGCTCTTTTGTTTGTTTTTGTGTTTAGGAGAATCCACAGGTTTAAAGCAAAAGTTTAGAGATTCTGTATAAATATTCAACCTCACTTGCTTCGTTATCTATTATAATTTTAAGCCAACAATTCATCTAGCTAGGAATACAAGTTTGCACGCAATTCGGGATGGAAAAGAAAGATCAAAAGATTATGGTGGCTATAGATGAGAGCCAAGAAAGCATGTATGCTTTGTCTTGGTGCATCACAAATCTTATTTCTGATACCCCCACCAACAACAAGCTTGTTTTGCTTTATGTTAGGCCACCTTCTGCTTTCTACACCTTGGATGCCGCAGGTTTCACTTTCTTATTATTTCACCCTTTTAATTATATACTATATACTTCATTTCTCTTAAAACCAGGCTTTGGACTAACTTGGTAATTGCCATATGCATATATATGATATTTTACAGGGTATATCTTTAACACTGATGTTGTTGATGCTATGGAAAAGTACAGTATGCACTTGGCTAATTCAGTGATGGAAAGAGCTGAAGCTATTTGCAGAGACTTGAACGCTACTAATGTAGGCAACCTTATATATCCTACACTTTTTTTTTTTTTTTTCTGGTTTATTTCTCCCCTTATTCTATTTTTGATTCTTTGAAATTGGGATTTTGCAGATTAATATGGAGAGGGTGGTTGGTATAGGAGATGCCAAGAATGTAATATGCAGAGCAGTGAAGAAACTAGAGGCTGACACCTTGGTCATGGGAACTCACGGCTATGGATTCTTTAAGAGGTATAATATAACGTTAACAGAGTTTGGTGATTTTTTATTTTCATTTTTGGGAGTGTATCATAATGAAGGATATGAGTAAATTATTTGTTGGTTTCTACCTTTCAGGGCACTCCTTGGAAGTGTGAGTGATCACTGTGCCAAGCATGCGAATTGTCCAGTTGTAATCGTGAAACATCCTTGAGAAAAATTGGTTTCCTTTTCTCACTAAGATAGTGGTTGGAAGTTGGATTCTCATGAAGCAGGGTTCCAGGGCATACCTTAAGTTTAATCGCTACACATGCATGCACCCTCTTATTGTCTATAATTTGTGTGTGTATATATATATTTTGCATTTCGTTGTTGTTGAATTATGAGAAAGAGATAGTATCCCAAAGGTTAGAAATCATGAAATGTTATGAACTTCATGCTTCCGCCAAAATCAGCAATCTCAGATCCTCAAAGAACAACTGACACAAGACAACTAAATATTCTGATTTAATAGGACTAACCCTTTAATTAATGGTTCACTTTGAAATCTTGTTACTTATGTAACAGGTACTAAGTAAGTTGAATGTCCTGCTTAATTTTATTACTTAGTGGTCGCATTAGGGATATGAGAATTGACAAGTACCAAATGTCCGTCCAAATATTGCAAAGATTAGTCAATCCTAACTGAAGAAGAGACGTGGAGGGAAGGGCTTTTTTGATACTGGATTACAAACTTAATTTTATCGGCAAATCAACGGGTATAAACTGGATTGGGCTCTTGGGCTGGCCCAACATTGTTTTTGGGGCTAAATCAAACTTCTAAAGGTTTAAATTTTATCAATAAAACAATTTATTAAAATTATTATCATATTTTTAAATTTTATCTTTCAAAATTTTTTAGTTGTAAACTTATTTATTAAATTATTATAATCTAATTCATTTAAGATTTCTTTTTCAGTTGATAATATAGTTAATTTATTTGATATTCTTTAAGACAGTGGTGGTGTTAAATAAGATTTTATTATTTTTTGTTTTGAAAAATTCCACTGAAGCAACCATTACTCAAATCGATAAATAAAGACATAGAAAGGACTACAAAGAGTGTAAAAGTGCAGAGAAAATATTACTGTTGTTAATCAAGTGATTAAATTTTGTGGGAAGAGAAAGTTAAAATAAAAGGAGAGCCTTTCTTAATAAAAAAACATATTTAACAAATTCCAGTAAACCAATATTATTATTAAATAATTATTAAATTTTTAAAAAATATAATTAGTAAATAAAAAAGTCGGAGTCCAAAGCAGTTGTTTTACCAAAATCGTTCGGGAATTTGAAAAAAAAAATTGTTTAATTCAAGTTAAAGAACTTTTGAAAATTTTATGATTCCTATTGAGCCAGATATTCCATAAACAAAAAAAAAGAAGGTATAATTAAAAAATAAATTGGGCTGGTTTTCTCACTTTCTGCTAAACACAAAGTTGAACTTCACCCATTAAGGACAAACAGGAAAGAGAAATTTTGAACTTACCTTCAAATATTTAGTGTGAGTTCAGTTCGTTCGTGGCTTCCAAAGAGCGAACCAAGTGATAAGTGCGTTTGTGATCATTTTTTTTGGGGCTTGAGGTATCTCTGGTTGGTTTTTTTTTTTGTTCTTGTTTATTTTACATCTCATGGAAAAATAAGTTTATGATAAAATTTACTTATTTTTTAAATAATAATGGGTCTGTTTGGATTAAAAAAATTATAAATAATTATATGTGAAAAAATATATAAAAAAGAAATAAACATTTTATAAGTTAAAATTAACTTATATAAATTTTAAAAAATAATATAAAAGAATTTGTACAAGTTAGTTTATTCATAATTTAATTTTAATTCTTGAAAAATTTTATTATATTTTATAAGTGCTCATAAAATATTTATCCAAATAGACTAATATATATGTGAAAAGTGAGTTTAGGATGAGTTGGTCAACAAAACAAAAGAACACTGGGCCAGAAGAGGCTCAAATGAAATCAAAATAAAAAGAGCCCAAACTTAATTAAAAAAAATAGAGCCCAAAGACGAAAACAAAGCACCAGACTCAGAGGCCCAATAATTCTGTAAAGTCAACAGGACACAGCAAGTATGACCCCTCAAAAGTCATACCTTAAAATTTTTTAGTATGAGCTTAAATTTTTTTTTTTAACACCAATAAGTTTAATTGTTATGCATCAATGTAAAATTATATTTTTCATTAATTAGAAATTATTTTTAAGATTACTTTTAAGTTTATTATAATAATAAATACATATTAACAATATAAAATGATTTTATATTATTATTTAATTACGAATTTACATGTATGCTAAATTTATTAATTAATATTTCTGATAATTACTTAAAAGCAGCTATTCCGAGAATTATTTTTAAACAGTATAAAAACTTTTCAATTAATGCAACACGCACGTTAAATTCTTTATGAAAATTTCTACCAAAAAAAAAATTCTTTATGAAAATTAACTAGCTGACTGTAATAATAATCAAATAATGAATTAATCACATACACTGCTAATGTAACACAGGTAGTATATAATTAACTCTCAAATAATAGTATCAAAATTGTTTAGCATTAATTAAATTCAGTTTTTATTCTTCTTAATTTTCCGTACAGCATGCATACTTTGCTATCTGACACGGAGATAGAGATCCAACCGTCAAGCTTTCATTTGAGTGACTATTGAGAAACAAACTTTTACCATATTTGTTAGTAATACGAAAATCTAAACAAAATATTTCCTTTTAAACCCACACAGTCTTTTTTCTTTTGGTTTTCCTCTCTTCAAAACGAACGATTAATTGAATGACTGTATGCTTACAGATTGCTTTATATTATTTTATATATAAAAAATAATAAGATGTATTGTTCCGAGAAATTAATAAAATTTCTCATGTTTTTAACTTCCTCAAAAGCAAAGAATAATTATTGTTAACACTGGACGCATTATGTGATGTAACCAATCTGATTATAAATTGGACAATTAATTAGAGACCGTTTATTTTTCAAAGTTAAATAAAATTGCAACTGATCTAACACAAATTACTCGGCTCATATCATTATGTCGATGCCTAAACTTAATTAGTTGAATAATTTATTAGATTAATTATTTAAACCAATTAATCATGAAATTATTGCATAATATTTTTGTTTATATTTCACAATTTTTTTGAATTTTATGCTATTAATTGCATGAAATGTATTTTTATGACGTCATTCGATTGGAACAACATTGAATAGTAGGACAAAATGAAAATTAAATTAAATAAATGATAAACATGTACTCTTGTTATACTAGTTGATAAATCAGTTAACGAAATAGCGTCATTCTCTTATATGTTTTTCATAAATTGAATATATTGTAAATGTTTGCCCAATAGCATCCAAAAATGACTCATCTAACTAGTGTTATCATTACGATTGTGGATGGTAAGTTTAAAGAAAAGTTGGCCTTGAATCATGCCACATAACACGTTCTTCCTTCCACAAGAGGTGAAGCTGAGGACCAAACCAAATGGTCATAATTCACGTCGTTGATGGCTCATCAAATTAATGATAGCGTACAACATTGGCTACCCATTTAATTCATGCATATAGTACGTTCACTGTTGACTACTACCCCTGGGCAGAAAAAGGTTACAATGTTACAATTATACGACCCGCAATCTAGTAGGACGTCACTAGCAATACAAGGAAACCCAGAACAGAAAGAGAGAGAAATTTGAGTATTGGAACAAAATTGTACTACACTACTACGTCCATCCCATACCAATTACCACACATAATACAATCTAATCCAATTAGTTAATGAGTTCTAGTTGAACGGTTCCTTCAATTCCTTTTCCAATTAGGTAAACGGATTCGGCAAGAACAATCAAACTGGACTATCACCCATTTTAACTTTTATCTCAATCCTAATCGCCATCTCCGCCTACAAATAAAGCTAAATAAATAAACGTGGCAGACATCCTATGCCCCAAGTCTATTTTGAAGTGACATTTTAACTCACATATATAAAAAAGAATTTGACCCACTGTGTATCCAATTCAACAGTGCAGTAACTTTAATTTCATGAAGGGTAAATTCTTTTTTATCTCTTTTATCGAAATATTTAAACATCTAAATAGGTGTTAAAAAATGATTTTTTGATATTATGCAATGTATGAAATATTTTCCAAATGAAAAGTAGCAAGTCCACCATTACGTGCGTCACACGACGAAGCAGTTTAACAAACATCAATTTCTAAAACTTACTTTTCTGAACCCCAATATAATCGAAGCCAAAGTCCATTAGTTAAACTGAAATCAGAGGCTGATAAAAGAATTGGTGGAGAGTGATGGGAAACCAAGTCTCACTAAGGCCCTCAGATTCGACGGGAAGAATCGTGTTATGGGACGGATCAGTGCAGGAAATTGAGCAATCGGTGACAGTGGCAGAGTTAATGCTGGAGCACCCAGAGCAAGTGGTGGTGGAGCTGCATTCAGCGGTGACCCAGAAAAGAGCAACACCGTTACCAGCGGATAAGAAGCTAGAGAGAAACAAGGTGTATCTGATGGTTCCCGTGAAGCGAGGGAAGCCGGTTGGGTTAAGCGGAGAAGAGGGTCGTCGCATGTTGTTGCTCCTTAACTCTGCTCTGCATTCAAAGTCCTCTCTTGTCACTTCTTCCAAGTTTCTTCCCTGGCTTACGCGTTTGTGCCAAAACACAACCATTGTGGAGCCTCAGGCTCAGAGAAAGGAGCATGAAACGGAGAAGAGGGAAGAGAGGTTCCACTTTTCTGAGATGTTGCCGGAAACGTTGGAAGGGAGGCCCGAGTATTTGAACCGCCAGTTGTCGGCCAAGGGGTGGAAGCCTAGTTTGGACACCATTAAGGAGAAGAATATTGACACAAAACTCACTCACTGGTTGTTCCTCAAGTAACACGCTTCTTCTGCCAACGCTTCCATCCACTTCTTTAAGTCTTTTTCTTCTTCTTCTTCAATTTCAGGATTTTAATTCAGAAGCAACGCTAAAAACAGCTCAACAACTTCATTCAAGTTTCTTTTTCTCTTCTTTTGACTATAGTTGTCACTTGTTAATTAATGAAAATATCGTGGCTTTATGTGGCTATTAAATGTAATAACGTAAAAAGAGTTAAGCTATGTATATGTATATGAACTTCTGTGACAAGATAGTGAAGCTGCCCAAATGAAACCGTGAAGCCCTCTCTTCTGTTTCTATCTCCTCTTAAGTTTTGCCTTGCCCAATCATTTTCTCATATTCTCACCAGTACCACACAAGGAGATGTACTACAGCAAAATTTACTGTATCTTTTTTTTCCGCTAAAACTTTAATTTTGTTTATTGACCAGAATAAATATTAATCAAAGGCATTTCTATGAAAGAGAAAGAGAGAGAAAAAGAAGAGTGCAATAGATAATTCGAAAGGATTCTTCTACAAAAATCAAATACGAGTGGACATGATTTGGTTTTAAGGAAGTAAATTAGAGGATATATAACAATACAGGTTAATAAGCATAAATACAAAGAAGGATAAAGATCCAATACGAGTGGACATGATTTGGTTTTTACGAAACTAAATAAAAATAAACCTCATTTAAAAAAATGGTTCAACTTAAAAAATCAAATTATTTTATTTTCTAGAAATGGTTAATATTATATTTTTCTAAGAATATATTGGTTTCAAAATTGTACTTGCTAAGAGGTATTCATCCAGAGGCTTTAATCTAAAGTCTTCAATCCTGAGTTCTCAAAATTGCAAATAATGATTGTACCTGTAAAAATGATCTTGAAGTCTAAGTTAACAAGTGTTCGAGTGTATTTTTTCAAAGAAAAAATGTGTCTTTTAAATGTGAAATGCAATTATTTATAGATAAAAAATATTACTATTTAAAATTCAGTCATTTAAGTGCATTTAAGATATTTTATTGTCATGTAATACTCGGATGTTATTTTCTCTAAAGATTGATCGCAGAGGAATGTGTCTAGCAAGACCGAGAACTCCTTGGCCTATCGAATACTATGTTCAGTCTAAACGAGCGTTATAGAATTTGAGGCAAGGCCAAGAACTAATAAGTTCTCGGAATGAGAATTTGGGACCTTTTCAATACATAAGCCCCTAAGTTTGACTCTTGGGAGAAGAGTTCCATGTGTTATCGGTTAAAATAATTTGCTTCCCGCCTTTAAATTTTGAAATTGCTCCCTTTCGAACACATTGTCATTTCAATGGTCGCATTAAGCATAATGATGGCATGTTTGAAGTTCTATGATCACATGGGTGTGAAAGGTCTTGGGAACGTGAAGAGTTATATCTATCTCCATCATTGATCTTGAAGGAATCTAATAGTTCATAGAGATGTGACGCTTCGTCTCTCGGAGCCCTTTATATATATAAATAGTGTATCTTAGCCCTCATAAGGATTCAGTTCTTGGGGACGAGGAGGGGTTCAACTCCAAAATTTCCCATTTATTGGACTCGAGAATCACATCAAGTATAAAGTATGGGAATCAAATACCATGAGTTCAAATAAACAAAAAAAAACTTAACCATAATTAAATAATTACCCTTGCCCCTAAAAACAAAGGAGATTTTAAAGATCTTTATTCTGTCAAATGTGCAACATAAAGTTGAATGTAAGTGCTCGGTTATCAATTGTTAATTCTTTATGCTTAAATTCTTGTTATTATTTCTAACATGCTTTTTTTGTAGTAGAATTCATGACTCAAAACTTCAACTTTGACTAGAAGAGTGTCCAAACTATTGTTACTATTTAAGGTTCCTGGGGTGCTAGGAACCCCGTTCAAGGTACCCAACTTTCGACACCCTCTTAGCCACCCCTTCCAAGAACTCCCTTCAAGTCTACTATCATCTACAGAGGTCAACCTTTGCTGTTGTCGACCCAAACAACATGCCACCTCACCATTCCCAAAAGAGAAAACATGAGTAGAGAGAAAAAAGACCTAAGGGTCCTTGTCAGCACAAGAGACCGGGGCCCAATGAAGGTACCTTATTTGTCAACATTGATACCTTTTTTGACAAGGGTTTTGATCCTTTGTTAATGATGGACCTTTTTGCTCTCTCCTTAGCCAACCAAAAGGCCTTAAAGAAGACGAATTTGAAGGTGACATTGGCCACTTTTTGTGACCTCCAAGCCCGATCATGGGTGATTGCTTAGTATCTTGGAGTTGAACTGTGCAAGGTTTATGTCAACTTCAACGACATCAACAAAATAAAAGCTAAGCTAGAGGAAAACTAGGTAAGTCTTCAGGAGACACTAAAGACCAATGAGGAGCTAACTTGCAAAGTTAACAAGTTACAAAATCAAGTTGGGGAGCTATATAACAAAGATACCAATGTTGAAGATCATCTTCGACGTTTAGAGGAGGTGCATAATAATCTTTCTAATGAGAAGAAAACACTGAAAATTCATCTCTTACAAATGATTAAGCTCTAAGATAAGGATAATGTGAAAAGAGAAGTGGTCGAGGCTGACTTGATGGAGGCAAGAGATCAAGTGTACAAACAACAGGTGACTAACTTCAATAATTCCCTTTGACAAACCGTCCACTTTTATAACATGCTAAACTTGTATGTGTTTAACATAAACAAGGATGTTTGTAAAGGAATAATGACATACATGGAGGACTTGTCAGGCGGGTATGGCATGGAGTTGGTCACTATCCCTCAAAGAATATTGAAGTTGTCGTCAAAGACACTTGTGTTGGTTGGTACATGATGAAGAAGATGGTTGGTATATGATGAAGAAGAGGAAGAGGCGACTCGAGCTGTAAATAATAATTAGTTTGTTTTAGGGGCTCTATAGTGTCCAATACTTACCATGTATTTGCTTTCTAATCAATCAAGTTTGGCTTTTCTATTTCAAATATTCACATATTTTACTTTTACGTCATTATTTCTGTATTGATTCATTAGCCGAGTACTTATGTTTGATCACAAGTGTGAGACCCCGCAACTCTTACTCTCTCTTTTCTCATCTCCCTCACTTTGCATTCTCTCTTGTTCCTTATCCTCTCAAATTCCTTTCTCTATAGCTGAAGCAGTGAGCACCTAGGGGTTCAGTTCCTCAAACGCATGCCGTGTGAAGCTAGCTGGAAAACGAATTCTTTCTCCTTTCTCTTCTTCTCCTCCGCTTTCCCAGAACTCGGAATTTCTTCTTCTCCGAGGTAAGGGAAGCTAGATTTTTGCTGGATTGGTTGGAAATGAGTTTATAAACTCATGTGTGGTTGATTTTCAGTAGATGGATGGGCTGATTTGAGGCAAAACTCATTTTCGGGATTTTGGGGAAAAAAGGTGAAAATTTGGGATTTTCATGTTTTGATGGTTGCATGTTGATAAAGTTGTGATTTTTGAGCTGTATGATGAAAATGTAGTGTTTTGGGTGGATTGCATGTACTTGAGATGCTTGTTTTTGTAGGTTTTGGTGAAAATTTTTGAAGTTTGAGGGTTGCTGCTTGATAGTGCGCCAGGTGTAGTTCTTGGCGCCGAGCGCATGACCATCAGAAGATTTCATTGGCCGAGTATGCCGGGCGCAAGGATGGTTGCGCCGAGCGAGCTTGGGAATGGAGGCCCCTGGATGGCTCACGCCGGCCATGGGGGAACCACGCTAGGCGTGATATCAGACAGGGACACATTTTGGGGTTCTGGTATGGCGTCGGGCGTGATTGGGTCTCGCCGGGCGTTGAGACTCCTTGGGAGTCTTTGCCAAGGGTGGCGCCAGGCGTAATTGGTATTGCGCCAGGCATGAGGCCTTGGGGAGGTCTCTGCCTTACTTGCACCTAGCGCGAGTTTGGTACGTCGGGCGTGAGAGACTCTTGAGAGTCTCTGCCTTCTAGCACGATGGGCGCAATTAGAATTATGCCAGGCGCGCGAGAGCTTTGGAGCTCTCTATTTGGTACACGTCGGGCGCAACTATGATTGCGCTAGGCGCGGATGTGTTCTTTCTTTAATATGCTGATATATGCTTATTTAAGCTGTTAATGATGAATGTTGTTGACCTGAGTGATCATTGTGTTGTGCTGTGAGATGTTCATGCTGAATCATGATGTTTAAGCTTTATTGTTGAAAAAGTTGAGCTGTGCCGTATATTGTATGTTGTTAATGCTGCTATGTTGTGTTGTGCTGAATGTTGAATATAAACTGTTGTAGGCCGTAAGGCTGAGCTGTTGTAGGAGATCTCTGAACTGATATGTGTGACGATGCATTGTTTGTTTAAAGTTGTTTTTGCTGAATGATGTGAGTTGTATATGTGATGTGTTGTATGCTGATCTTGTTGAACTTAATGATGTGCTGATAAGCTGTAGTTGTTTATAATTTCTTTATATATATATATATGCTGATTCTTTTCACTAGCTTACCCGTGTTGTTTCCATATGGTTTGGACTACAATGATCATACTATGTATGGGAGTAGAGCAGGGATAGGTTGGTGTATTAAGGCAGGTCTGCAACTGACAGATGAAGCTGATGTTTGTTGTTTTTGGCTACTTAGTGTAGCTATTTTGATGTATTTTGTACATTGATTTGAGCCCCAGGCTAGACATATGTGTATATACTTTATATTTATATATGTATGCTCTATTCTGCGTGGTGTTGTTTGTTGTAGAGCGACTAGGTGGGTCGTTACAACAACTAGCTTTATAGCAAGGTTACACTAGAAATTTATTTTAATTGGATGATGACGTGTGTTTGGTTAAGGTTCCTCTTCTACCAATATTTATACTTTGATTTTTATTTTACTTGATCAAGTACTCATGTTCAACCAAGTTTTTTCTTCTTTCCAATATTTTATATTTGAGTTTTATTTTACTTGACTGAGTACTCATGCTCGGTTAAGGTTTTTTTTCTTACTAAGATTTTATATTTGAGATTTTATTTTACTTGACTAAGTACTCATGCACGACCAAGATTTTTTGTCTTACCAAGATTTTATACTTGATTTTATTTTACTTGACCAAATACACTCGTGCTCAGTCAATGTTTTTCTACCAAGATTTTATACTTGGGTTTTATTTTACTTGATTGATTATTTGTGCTTAGCAAAGGTTTTTCATCTTACCAAGATTTTAAATTTGAGTTTTATTTTACTTGATTGAGTACTTGTGATTAGTCAAGATTTTTCGTCTTACCAAGATTTTATACTTGGATTTTATTTTACTTGATAGACTACTCATACTCAACCAAGGTTTTTCTTCTTCCAAG